ATGAAGACATACCACAGATGCAAAACACTGTCCAGTTACAGCTGCAGAAAACTTGATTTAAAGTGTCTCATTTTTTCAATTTGACTGAAAAAAATTCAAAAATATTTTTCACACAAAATGCCATGATTTTAAGTGAAAATACTAATGGATCACTAAAAGATTAGGGCATTAGTTTCTTCAAATGTATAAAATATGCACTGCAACATAAGGAGTCATCCTGTTCTCAGTAACATAGAATCACTTCTATTCACATGTGATTTTATTTTATATTCTTTCAGACAGAGCCAATTTAAAAGTGCATTCAGCTACTTTCAATGTACTATATAAGCACAAAAGGATTCAATTGCTTCCCTGCTGGTATATTAATTTTAACTGTATAAAATATAAAACAGCAAGCATTTGAGGACTTACAGCTTGACTTTATAAATATTTAACATTAAAAGAAATCATGTCTATCACTGATGCTGAAAATAAAAGTGTATTTTGGGAATATAGTCTAAATTTCTGAACCAATGGGAGATGTGGTATGTCTGAGAAATCAAATTCAATTAATTTCCTTTAAAATAAAGTGCTTTGTTAAATAAAAATATTGCATAATGACTGGGAAAAGACATGAATTTTTACATGAACATTAATGTTAACCATTTTAACTAATATTAAATAAAGCCAGTTAAAAATAAAATAATTTTGAATTTTAACTATTTTATTTTTACATTTTTATATACAGTACTATATGAAAATAGGCACCGTGAGGCTTTTTTATATCACAAGTTTACTTAGGTTTGTACAATCATAACCGGAAAAGAATAAAATATAGTAAATTTTAAAACACTCTTAACAAAATTAAAAATATTAAAAGATTTGAAGAGGGATGATGGTAGAAAATAAATACAACCATTTTCTGAGAGTTCAATAGAGGCTTTTCTTCTTAGAAGATTTCAGGATATTGATCATTTTGCCAAGATCTGGTCAGCATATTAAACCAAATGTGGGCTGGGGCTGTTTAGCATGTGAGAATCTAGATAAAGTATGTTACTGCTGGCATCTGTTATCACTTAATAGTTTGGGTAGTCTGAGCATCCAGAGTAGGCTTGGGTGGGCTCAGCCAGCTTATGCGACAGAAGTACAATGCCTCTTTGTTAAGTGGCTGTTTACACGCTTATCAGTCAGCCAGTGTCTTGTGCCAATTAATCACACTACTCCCTAGAAAAGTTTATGTTTAAAATTTCACTCATAGACGAAGCCTAAAAGGGATAAACATTAAAGAAAAATGACCAAATCCAGCTCTCTGCCTCAAAAAACATATTAAGAATGCTTTATTAACAGTAAATGTGTGATTAACTGTACATTTTCAATGCAGACAACTGTGTGGAAGACAAATATGGGAGTCCTACTTTATACATGTTTCCTATTACTGAACTGTTTACTATAAATAAAAATCTAGGTAAATAAATTAACCTGAAAATTAAACTTAGCTAACAACATAAAATAAAGGTCAGAGTTTGAGACTTGTTACAAATCACAATTTGGGGATCTTATTCAAAAGCTTATCTGAAGTTAGCTGCATCAAAATTCCCACAGTAAACTAAAAGTATAGACTTGAACATAAATTAAGATGGACCGAAACATACTTGCTATTGCAGGGACATTGTGGATCTTGCTCTTACTGTGTGACCCAGAGCAAAGTACCTAATCCCTCTAAGTCTCACTGTTCCCACCTGCAAATGTGAGTAACAATATCTACCATGCACCATTATTATAAATAATAAATGAAACAACATATATAAAGTACATGCCATGTGGTCCAAACCCTGGTTTTACACCTTGACAAAAATGCATAATCGGATATTATATCATCTCTATTTTAAAGAAGAAAATTAAAAAGATAAATTATATTGGGATACATTCACTAGATCCCAAAATGCATCTGTTGGAAGCAGGGAGAGTGGTAAGGTGAAAGGGAATGGCCACCCGGACCCATAATTTAAGGTCTTCAGATTCAAGGGGAAATAAGGGCAGCTGCACCCTTTACCGTATCACTCAATTCAATTCAACGCAATGTTAGAGGATACATTGACTAGAGAAAAGAGAAAAAGACGAGACATTCTTCCCACCTTCATTGATTCACAACCTAAAAGAGATTCACACCAAGTCATGGGCAATGCTGATATCCAAAAAGTCCTTAAAATATATTTTTTAAAGTGTTGCAATATACAAACTTGGTGGCAAAATCAGTCCTGAATTTGAACTGGCTAGAAGCTTTATAGTTATTCTTGCACTGAACATAAACATTTCGGCATTTCAAGTCTCATTATGTGGTGAGGTCCCAAATCCCACTGATGACGTGACATAATATATGACAGAATGCAGTAGCTTTGGAAAATAAAAAGTAATCCAAGTTCCAAAACACATGTAGCCCAAGGATTTCAGACAAGGGAATCTGAACAATTTCTGCTTAAGAAATAAAAGGGACACCAGCAGTTTAAAGACGTAAACCGTCTAATGTGGAAACCTGTATTGAAGAATGTGTTTTCTATCCTTCTTAAGTTAGAATTTGCTTAGAACCTTTGGATATGCTCTAACATGGAAACAATAACACTACTTATATTTACTGTGTTCTTGAAAAAATATACACAAAATACTTTAAACAATGCTTGGCACAAAGTAAATACCAGTAAATGCTATATAGAAAAATACTTGGAACACTTACTAGGAAAAGGCAAACAGGTGAATGTATAGTTCAGGCAGTTAGCCGGCTATATCCCATATCACATTTTGGGATTTTATTTTTAAAAATCCAAGAATTTTCTTTTCCTCTGCCCAGAGGTATTTCTACTCTCAGACCTCAGGGTAGTAATAGCGCAAGTCCATGGAAGCAGGTAGCAACCACGCTTGAGCAAACAAGCACCTGGGAGCTGATGGTACGTATTAGGATGTCAAGCTCTTAATGCAAAATGTATTATTTGGAAAGACATAAACTCTGAAGAGCAACCTAGAGCGATGCGTCCAGAATTACAAACTAATCGGTCAGATTTTTTGTTAAAATGCAAACTCTAACTTAATGTGGCAGGGCCAGAAATTCTGCATTCAAGTTCTCAGGTAACCACAGTGCTGCTGGCCCACACTGAGGGAGGAAGGCCCCAGGGCAGTGGCCCGCAAAGTGCAAAAGCAACATTGGAATCTGCTGGGGAGCTACTAGAAACGCCAACCCTCGAGCATAAGGGAACTGCTGGGAGATTGCTGATCTAAGTCAGACTTTCTCTGAGAATAAAAGCACAATACTTTTAACATACTTTAAAAATAAAAGGAGCATACTAGACCGTGTTACCTAAAAAAAGAAAATCAATTTCTCTCTGCTAACAATTTCCAAAATTATAGCCCTTGCAGCTGTACTTAAAAATACTTAAAATGTAAGCTTTTACATGATAAGAAGCCTGCTCTGATAATGTATATAGACAGAAGAGTGGAAAATTCTCAGTTGAACCACTTACCAACTATTCACAAACAGATCATTTCCATTTGACCTAGGTAACAGACATATGACTTTATAGAAGCCAAACCGAGTTTTATATTTTCTTGTGTTGAGAATGTAATCCAGCCACATCATGGTTTAGTCAACTTCTCCAGACTAATGTTTACACATCGCCTGGTTCATATGTAAATATGTCAACATTTTGATTTATAGCTATAGGTGATCTGTTTACACACACTGATACACAAACACAAATTACAGTATGTTAATGGTCTGAAACACAATATTCTTAAAGGACAAAAAACTTGAGGCTAAACTATAAATATAGAATGTCATGACCAGAGAAAAATTTGTTGTCTGAATGTGAAGCCAATTGATTGTTAAATGGGTGGTTTTTCCCAAAATTTTATAATAAACTAATGCATTCTGAATTAAGATTTAGTTTTCTTTTTTTCTTCTACTTCAAAGTTTGAATGTACAAGTTCATCTCTCAAACAATTCTACAAATGCAGCTCTCAAAAACTGTTAGCATACAGTTAGGTCCTTCACCTATTTTTGAAGGAGTCAGTTACTAACCTTGAAAAGCACAACACCTGCTTCAGGACTGGGGGTAGACCCCTCTGATTTCTGCTAGAACCATATCTTTTATTTAAACAGTGCTGCTGTCAGAAGACATCTCTGATGTTCACACCACAGGGAGGGCAGGAAGGGAAGGTGCTTCTGTAATCAAGTGAGTAGAGGCCAGGCATGCAGCTCAACAACCCAATGCAGGAAACAGACTCCTCGACAAAGAATCACTCAGCTGAAAATCCCCCTCATGCCAAGGTGAAGGAAGCTTGACTGCAGCAATGGAGGCTGCAAAAACACAGAACGAGCATCCCGTGTGTGTGCCATCATTGCATTCCTAGCACAGTGTGAGGCACAGTAATAAATATTTGTTGAATAGTAAATAAACTACCTCTGTGTAGTCAGGACCTTAGACTCATAGAGATGAGAAAGAATGACTCAAAAGAATGAGAAAGGGGTTATTATATACATAATATCTAAAACTACAAAGCAAAATTGTTCATTGTTAAAACCAGAAAAAAATTTTAAAAACTATTCAGTCCAATTTCTGTATCTTTGGAAAAAACTGTTCTCATATGACAGATGCTATCTAATGTATTGATTTCACAGTGATGAGGGAATCAGTTCTCTTAATAGTAAAAGTAAAATATAAAATCTTTATAAATTTATTAAAATATCAGTTCTAATAGTGCCAATGCCCCATACGTTTTTAAAATTAATAAAGCATTTCCTTTATAAAGAGTAAAACAAAACCAATATGACATAAATCATACATAATAAGTGATATTCCACAGGCGGGAAAAACAAAATGTAATTATTTTTCAAAAAACAAATCACAGACTTCCATGGCCTGCAGGCATTTATACTTCTGAGAATTTGGAGATCTAAAATGTCATGAGAAATTCTGAACTGGCTTACATTTTTGAAACACAGGAACTGAGAGTCACAAGGCCAAACATACCCTTAATAATCGATTCAGCTGCATACAAATCTCGTTTGTAGGTCACCTAAAGGACAGATAAACCTCATTAGACTTAACAGAGCAGGAAGGAATGTGAAAGCAATAAAATTATGCCCCCAAGGAAATTCTTGATTTTGGAGAAACTATAAACACATTAATACTGACAATTTCTAAATTACAACATCAGCAAATTCAGAATAATTATTCTATTTCTGTGAATGGTAGAGGATTTTTTTTAATATTTAAATAAATAGGGATACTATATGACAGTGTTTACCAAAACCTTATTAATGTAACCGAAGTACTATATCAAAGAATATGTGGTTGTATTTAAATAAAAGTTTTAGCATTATTGTTTAATAGTAAGGTCTCACTTTTAAAGAAAGAAAAGGTGAGTATAACAAAAGTCACCAAACTGCATTTTTAGTTGAAATGAGGAAATTCTCAAAGATCAATTCACATTAAGAAGGGAGTTCCTTCTGAACTGAGTATAACTGTATATACCCAGATAAGGTTCACCTTGTAAGGATTTTATGGCTCTGATAAAAAGAGCCTAGAAGGTACCATTATGTACATAAGAACAATCACAATCTTTCCTTAAAAACACACAGCCTCCTTGCAATTTTAACCTGCTCATTGTAACATAATGGAACATGGTCCTGTGGCAGATACTTCCCAAGCCACACCCACTGAGCTTAGGTATAGAGCATGTCAGATGCACTGCATTGCAGGATTAGCTCTCCTTTATCACAGAATTGAAAATGTAGTAAATAATGAACTATACTAATAATACCAGGGTCTTAGTAGCTCATCAATCAAGTGCCCAGATGATTCTGATGCAAACAGTCTAAAAACCCACTTTGGGAAGTACTCACCAAATTAGTACATTTCTATGCCTACAATTCAAACATTTTTCCTCCAAATCATCTCATATCTAGACACACTTCTACCTAAAATAGAGTCCTGTGCTGTGCCTTTATCCTAGCAGCTAAATCCTAGTCCAAAACTACAGTCTGGAATTAAAGTAGCAGTTGAGCCCTGGCTGGTGTGGCTCAGTGGACGGAGCACCCACCTGCAAACCAAAGGGTCGCTGAGTCAATTGCCAGTCAGGGCACATGCCTGGGTTGCAGGCCAGGTCCCCAGTAGGGGGCACGTGACATGCAACCACACAGTGATGTTTTTCTCCCTCTCTTTCTCCCTCCCTTCCCCTTTTTCTAAAAATAAATAAATAAAATCTTTTAAAAAATAAAGTAGCAGTTAATTTGTAAGAAATGACAAGTTGTTCAAGTATTCAGCTAATCTATTTAAATGAAAAACAACATGGCTACATTATCTCTAAAACAAGCACATGCCAATCAAAACAAGTACTGTATACAGCAGTTACTGACCCACAGTGTAATTTTATCATCCAGAAAAAAATATCAATAGAAAACAGACATTGAAAGGTTCATAGTATGCATTTTACCAAGTTAAAAAATGTACAGATCTCATTCATTCATTCAACAAATATTTATCAAATAACTACTGGGGTTCTAAGTGCTGGAAATAGACCAATCAAAAGAATGAGGAAAATTCCTTCACTCGTAACAACTGCATTGTAGTGGAGAAATTTTTCTTATAAGAATTAAATAAGTTACAATGTTTGCAATTTAAATGAGAAAATGCTTTTCTTCTATAATTGTCTGCTGTGTAAAGTAGACCCAGAAATTAATGGAAAGGTAGTTGATTACCAAAATTCATTTTTTATCCCTTCCTGCTTTTGTTAAGGGATTAAAACTGCATTCGAACTTAAAATAGAATTGTGAAAGTATCTTTTTCTTTCAAATAAACCTTAATGATGAGTTTTTAAATATAAAGAAAACTCAGTTTCAAATACTAAAATGTTTTTCTAGCATACTTGCAAGATAATATTTTTGCACTAGAGTCAGTCTTATGAATCAAATACATGTTTTTATTACCCAAAGGTCCTTTCTTAACTGTATAAGCAAGAAAGCCTCCTAAATTTTCTTTTCTGCCTCCTGTTTCTTGTAAGGTGTGTACACCTACTTATATTTTGATTAAAAGTATTGTATTTTATTAATATCTTCGATATAAAACCTCATTGAATACCTCAACTATATTTATTAAGCACTGAATTAATGAAAATAAACTCCGAAATATTCCTGACAAATTTGTGAAGTACTGTGTTTAAAACAGCCTTATTTTTGTCCAAACAGAAATGTACTGGTAAATGTAGTTCTGTTGATGAATTACTCTCTTCCTGCCAAACTTTTACAGTTATATGCGTTACCCTTTCCTTATTTTTAATTTCAAAAGACTGTAATAATCAATTTTGAAGTTGATTTTCTTCTGTCAGCATAATCTACAGTTTTTCTTTGTCTTTACACAATAGATACTTTAAAAAAATCAACCCTGCAGTGACGGAAGAGAGCCTCAGCCCTCTGATGTGCTTGTCTTCCGGCTGCATGCATTGTAGCCTGGGGCCACCCACAGACCAGGGAGGTGTTCTATGCCTTGGAGACACGAACCTCGCGCCTGCCACTCACATAGTGAAGCTCAGTCATTGTCTGTTTTGTTCCTCTGTGCTTCTGTGTACTATTTCCTCTGAGTAAAATGGTTAGCTAATGATTAGATAGATAGATAGATAGATAGATAGATAGATAGATAGATAGATAGATAGATAGAGATATATAGATATAGATAGATGTAGATATAGATATAGATAATTTTTTTTTCCAATGAAGAAAAGCCTGAAACTGAGAGCCACAGAGATAGTTTTCTTCCAAATCCTAGGCCAGGGCTACCTCAGCTACTTCAAGGGGAGCACCAAAGAACACAAACACTGTCACACCTTCTCTGTGTTGCTCCATCTGTGTTGACACTCAGTATCGTAAATTAAAAGACTTTGTGGAGCCAAGTCCAGTTGGCTACATCTTACATGAGCTAAGTTACACTACAGTAAATGTTCTCCCATCTGTCACCTCACAAGAAAATGAACATGTAACTCTAATAATTAGAAGCTAGAAAACCTTAAATTTTAAATATATGGAACGTTTATTAGATACAAATTTAGATTTGGTGGACTATTTATTACATTTATTTCCATTTCATCAATTACATCTGTTGAAAATATTCTTATCTCTAGACTGGATAACTAGATGAAAACTTCTAAAAGAAATAATGCCACCACAGTGTATTTATGAGGTTAAAGCAAAAAGGCCAAAAGTGAGACTGTTTTTGTTTCTTTTGTTCTGAACACTTAGATCTTTAAAAAAAAAAACTGTAATTCACATCAAAAGGAATCCTCAGAAGTCATCTGTTCTAGTAGTATTGTGATGACTCAAACACTTCAGAAACTCTTTCTAAAGAAACATTTTCAGACAACGGGACACAGCTGACTGAATCTCTTAAATAACTGGCTATAAATCTTTTATAAATCTTTCAAGCCTTGAAGATGGTTTTGGCATTTAGAAACAAGATGCCTGTTCAATTAGGTCTGTACCGTGTAGTAAGGGACCAAATCGTTAACTATATTGGGGCCAAAACCGTGGTACAACTCTAAAGAAATGAAAGGTCTTCTGCAGCCTAGATGAGGTTTCACTGAAATAGTATGTGTTCACCCAGGCCTGGCAAGGCACTGCCACTCAGAGAAAGCAGGAGCCAGTACCTACCCCTGGGAGTCGGCCCTGGACTCCTCTGTGTCTGGCCACTCTTTGGGGAGGGGGCTGGCCATATGTGGGGATGCCCTCTACCCTGCATGGTGACCTGAAGAAACAGATGCTTCCTCCATGCCCCAGAGTACCTGCTGCAAGAAGGCTGGCATCGACTCTGAATGTTTACTTTTTACATTTACTTCTACCAAAAAAAAAATGTATGTGAAATACAAAATAATAACCGTCCTGGGATTTCTGGTGTCAGTGAGAGCAACTGTCCTAGTCATTCCTCACACCACCCGGGTGAACACGCTGACTGCGGAGAGGCAGGGAAGGCATCCTGGCTCTGGACTTCGGAATCTCCCCTTGCCTGACTCTTTTATGGTAGCGACATGCCTCTGTAAACATGTTTGTCGCTGTGTCAGGTTTCTGAATCATGTTCCAGGTACAGTTCTTGGCATTGCCACCTGAGTCCAGTACCAGTTTTAGAATAATTGTACTAAATCTTTCCTCGAATCCGAGTATTAAAAAACAGTTGCACCTTTGGAATTTTATAGAATTAGAACACTAAGGTCAAAGTGTGCATTCCATTGCTTTGGTTTAAAAGCAACTGAAATAATCTTTATCCACACAAAATAGTAAGACCATAAAATTAACTGAATTAGAAGCCCATAGGAAAGACAGCTCATACAATGTCATCAGAGGCTGCTAAATAGGTCTAAATAAACAGCTAGGAAAATATCAAAAAGGTAAAGATGGAAAATAATGAAAGACAGGAAGCAGAAGAAGGAAATAGGGAACCAGAAACAAATGCAATATTAGCAGTCAAAGTAATTTCACCTCACTTAACAGAATAAATATGGTACCTAAAAAGTCCTCATAATTGTCATGTGATAGACTTTTTGCCCAATCCATTGAATTATAAGCCTCTTCAGAATCCAAGATCCTGTTAATGTATGTCCCTATTCAAAAAACATTCATAAGCGGGGGCGGGGCTTCCCCTTCTCCCTCCCTGTTTGGAAAGTGATACTAGGAAGATGATCACCCTGGGCCTGTGAGTGTGTCACCCTTTGGCATGTAAAGGAGTTTCCTAGGGCTTTATAACTAGCTCAAACCGAGTGGCTTAAAACAACAGAAATGTCCTGCCCCACAGTACTGGGTCACAGCTGCGCAGATGTTCTTCCAACCCAGGGAAGCCAGGGCTCGCACACCAGGGCCACTGTGGAAAGCCGAGTCCCGTCCTCAAACCCAGTCAAGTGTAAGGCAACAGAGTGAAAGGATACATACAGAGGGCAAGAAAAAATGCTAATAAAACAGTCTTACTGGCTAAATGGAATTTGTTTGAATAAATTAGGTCAAAGGGAATTTTCTTATAACCTGCTATAGAAATGATACCATGCCTCGACAGCTCAGTGAAACTCTTTTAACTCCCTTAGTATATGCACACACACACACACACACACACACACACACACACACACACATATACACATTTTCTCCCAGAAGTACCGTTTCAGTATGAAATCAAGTATTTTTATACTACTTCTCCAATTTCTAAAGCCCTGGAAAGTGTTTGCGCTTGCAACATGTATCCTTAAGAATGACATAAGTATGGACAAAACCCAGAACAATGTACTACCTCCATTACCTTCCAGAGATCAGGGGATCCTTCCACGAGTTTGGCTTTAACGTGACAATATTTTAGAGCCAGGTGCAAACACTCCGTTCCAAATTCCAGGTCGTAGTCACTACACTGAGTGAAAAAAAGAAAAAGAGTTCACAAGTTAAAATATAATCTTAAGTGAAATTATGCATGATCATTGCACAGAGAAAAGGAAGAGCCCAGAGAACTCCCAAGCCCTTTAAATAGCTACTGATTATTCACGTTACACAATAATTTTCCCTATGCCCTAAATGCCAGGAGAAAACGGGAATGTTGCGATTAGAAGTCTCAAACTTCCTCTGTCGTTTCAGGTGTATTCAGATAAACGTAATACTTAATTTCCTTTACTCATAAGCTTCTTTTCCAAACATGTTTCTAAAATGCCCGAAGGAATGGCTGAGGATTACCATAGCATGCTTTGATTTAACAAAAATACATATTCATAAAACTTCAAATCCCCTCCCTTGTATTTATATCAATTTATATTTGTACATCATAACTCTCTTATTCATCTTAATATTTTGTTTTATTTTATTTTTTATTGTTGTTCAAGTACAGTTTTCTCCATTTCACCCTACCACTCTCCCCCCACCCCACCGACCCCCACCTCCCAGCCTCAGTCCTACCCCCCATTTGGTTTGTCCATATCCATATATCCTTTTTAAATGATTTCTATTTTGATGATGAAACTGTTTTGTAAAGGTCTCTCATAGGTTAGTAAAATATAAACATTTTTAAGCATATGAAAGCAGAACCATTAAAATGGCCAACAAAATACAAATCAGCTGAATAATGCTGTGTACCTATTAATGTCCAAGCTTTGTATTAAGTGCCAGCATGTAAATATAAATGAGACACTTATTGCGTTTTCAAGGAACTCAAGTCTAGAAGGGGAGGCTGATTTATAACAAATATTTTGCAACAGAATGTGATAGATGTAGCACTAGAAGAACTACAGAAGTAGGCCAGGAGACAGAATACTTAACACTATGGGAGGACTTCAGGGAGGCCTGGCAGAGGAAATGGTCCCTGATCAATGGTATGTGAGTGAGATGTAGGTATAGTAAACAGTTTTCTCTTTAACCCATGGTTAAATCCCAAAGATGACTAGCAATGGCACTTTTCCTGACTCTTTCCAGAGACAAGATATTGAACACACCTATGGACAGCCTTAAAAGTGCTCATGAAGTTCATACTGAGAGGAGCTCATACGAACAGTTATCTCCTTTCCATCCCAGCTGGTGGGGTAAGAATATTAGCTGATGCTGTGCTCCTACCAGTCACGTGATGTACCAGCCAAGATGGCAACAACCTATAAATTACATAAAGTCTTTAGGACTCCTGTTGCCAGGGTCAGTGGGAAGCATGGAAAATTATAGGTCAGGTATACACAAAATATAAATCAGAAATAGAGGCTAAGCAATTTGGCAGAAAGAGTAGTCTGAACTTGTTATTCATTGTATGGACTAATAATACAACTATTTATGGAACTTTTGTAATTTTTTGGCAATAAAACCTTGCTTTCACAATGAGTTCAAAAAATGAATGCTTACTGACAAATTAAATTCTGAACTTCTGTGTCTCAAGAACATTGAAATTGATTTCAGCTTTTGTCTAGGCTATGGAAAGTTGAAAAAAGTGATGCTCATTTCCGAACAAAAGAAAAAGCAGATAAACCGCATAAGCACAACTTTTCCTTGAACCAGAACTGAAGCCACAGGATAGTCAAGTGGCCTGAAATCTAACAAAGGCATCCCTCCCCCAAGGAGAGAGAGCATGCCATCACTGGCTCACGTAAGGCAGAACACAAAAGGGAATGACCCTGGATGCCGTACAGGCAGGTAAGATGAAATCAGCTACAAAATGTCTACAGTTTTCTAACTACTGAGCAGAAGCAACTAGGAGGATACAGGACCTCTGGGAGCCACAGGCACACTGGAGTTTATTCCCGCTTGCAGGCTCCCCTTCAGCATCCCACTACTGGGGGTCCATGCTGTAGCATAAAGGTGACTGTGATTAGATGTATATTCTAAACTAAGGCATTTTTAAGTTAAAAATAAAATGTCAATAGTGATTAGCTGAAATCAGAAAAAAATAATATATTAATACAAGACAGAGAGAAAAAAAGAGAAAAACAACAGATAGAACAAATAGAAAATAACCAGCAAGACGACAGGTTTTTATCAAGAGAGGTAATGAATGTGTAATTGCACAAAATGTCAACATTTATTATCCAGCATGGGAGTCACAGTGATACCACTAATCACATGAAACACAAACATACACACACTCACACACAGGTCCTGAGAACTTTATGCCTCCCCATACTTGAAGCCCAAGACAGTGACAGACAATGCTCTCCCCAGGCAGAAGTACTGAAGACACCATCATTAGCTGAGGTCCCCAAATATACAGCCTATCCTTGTCATGTTACAGTGAAGCTCACAGTCAACAAGCCACACCTTCAAAACCCAGCAAGTCCAAACAGTCTCCAACACACAAACTTAAACAGAAAGCCCAGAGTTAACTGAAACCCAAGGAAAAGCTCAAACATGAAAGATAAGTTAAAAAGGCAAAGAATATTTTGGAGGAACTAGAAATTATGCAGTTAAAAAAAACAATAAGGCCAGAATGAAAAAGTATTTATACTCATAAAGTAAGACAGAATACTGTTTAAGAGGATATATAGCTGCAAAATAGGAGAGAAAAGAATAACTGATGACAACCACAAAGTCCAATATGTTAAAAATAATAAGAAGAAAGAAAGAAAATAAAAGGAAAGAAGAGAAAAGGGTAGGACACAGAAACAACCAAATATTTTTTTAAACTGAAGTAATAAAGAACATGAGTTTTCAAATTAAATATTCTTTTGAAATAAAGAAGTTAATAGAGGAAAGTTCAATTAACAGAAAAAACAAGAAGTCTTATAAGGAAGCAGAAAACCAAATCAGCCGAAACTTCAACAATAAAAATCAGGAAAACAATGAAATGATTTCTTTATAATTTCAAAGGTAATTATTGTCAACATAAAACTATCCTCCCAGCAAAGTTTTATATCATTTTTGAGGATGGAATATGGATTTTTACAAACATGGAAGATCCCAACAGAATTTAAAGTTCTGTAGGTTCATTTTTATTTTGAGGTTTTTAATAGACTTTTGGGAGCAGGTTTAGGTTCATAGCATAATTGGGCAGAAGGTACAGGTATTTCCTATATATCCCCTACCTCTACATACTCACTGCCTCCCCCGCTATAAAAACCCTACACCAGCGTGGCACACTTACTAAACTTGATGAACTCACACCAGCAAATTATTATCACCCAAAGTCCACAGTTTACATTAGGGTTCACTCTTAGTGTTTCACATTCTATGGGTTGTCACAAACGTATAATGGTATATAGCCATCATTGCGGTATCATACAGAGCGTTTTCACTGTCTAAAAATCCTCTGTGCTCCCATTCATCCCCCTCCCTGCCCCCAATCCTCAGCAGGCACTGAGTGTTCTCCTACCTCCCTAGGAGATAGGGAGATAACTTTTTCAGAAGTTATATACTTGAAATCATACAAAAGTCTGTTCAGATTAGCTTCTTTTACTTAGCATAATGCATTTAAGGTTCCTGCGTGCCTTTTGTGTCTTGATGGATCATATTTTAGCACCAGGTAATATCCCATTGTCTGAATCTACCACAGTTCATGTATGTATTCACACACTGAAGGGCATTTTGGTTGCTTCCAAGTGCTAATAATTATGAAAAAAACTAGTCTGACTAGTCTGGACATTCATCTGTAAGTTTTTATGTGGACATAAGCTTTGAACTTATTTGGGCAAATATGAAGGAGTGAAATTGCTGGATCATACAATAAGAATACATTCACTTCTGTAAGAAACTGTCCCACACTCTTCCCAAATGGCTGTACCATTTTGCTTTTCCACCAGCAATGAATGAGAGTTCCTGTTACTTCACTTCCTCACCAGCATTAGGTGTTAGTGTTCTGGATTTTGGCCATTCTAATAGATGTGTAGCGATGTCTCATTTTTGTTATAGTTTCCATTTTCCTGGTGACATAAATGATGTGGAACATCTTTTCAAATGCTTATTTGCCATCTGTATATCTTATTTGGCCTAGTGTCTGCTCATGTCTTTTATCTATGAAAATTGAATTGTTCATTTTCTTGTTAAGTTCAAGAGTTCTTTGTATATTTTAGAGAACAATACTTTATCCCATATGTCTTCTGCAAATATATTCCTCAACTTGTAGCTTGTATTCTCATTCTCCTCAAAAATTCTTTTGCAGAGCAGAAATTTTTCACTTTAATGAAGTCCAGATTATAAATCCTTTCATAAACCATACCCTTTGGTGTTACATTTAAGAAGTTATTGCCATATCAAAGGTCATCGAGGTTTTCTCCTGTGGTATCTTCTACAGTATTTTAGTTTTATGTTTTACAGTTAGGTCTATGATCCATTTTAAGTGAATTTTTGTTAAGGGTGTAAAATCTGTGTCTAGATTATTTTTTTGCATGCGGATGTCCAGTTGTTTCAACACCATTTATTAAAAAAGGCTATCTATGTTCCATTGTATTGTCTTTGCTCTTTTATATGGATCTATTTCTCAGCTCTCTCTTCTGTCCCATTGTTTGATTTGTCTGTTCTTTTGCTGATATCACACTGTCTTGATTGCTGTGGCTTTACAGTTAAGTCTTCAAGTTGAGGAGCCTCAGTCTTCCAACATTTTCCTCCTCCTCCAACATTGTATTGGCTGTTCGGGGTTTTCTGCCCCTCCATATAAAATTTATCATTAGTTTATCAAAAGCTATAAGAATTGACATCTTTAAATTATTCAGTTCTCTTATCCATGAACATGGAATATCTCTCCATTTAGTCCTTTGATGTTGCCCATCAGAGTTTTGTAGTTTTCTCCATATAACCTTTGTACACATTTTGTCAGATTTACAACTAAGTATATAATTTTGGGAGTATTAATGGAAATGGTATTATGTTTTTAATTTTAAATCCCTCCTATTCATTGTTGTCCTATAGGAAAGCAATGGAGTGTTGTATATTAACCATGAATCCTGCAACATT